GGAATCTTGGGCACGCATGCACACACGCCGGTGTGAGTTTAAGCCACCGGGTCCGGGACTTGAACTGCGGTCGACTATGTGGGAGTCCAGCGACACAGCTATTACGCTAACTGCTGGTCCCTGTTTTGTATTTTTGACAATGCAGTGGAGGAAAGAAAATCTTTCTGGTAAACCATGCTGGAAGAACTGAATATCCTCGTGCAGAAAAATTAAACTGGATCCCACTCTCTTACCTTAAACAAAAATCAACTCAAAATGGATCAAAGATTAAAGTGTAAAGACTTAGGACCAGCAGGTAGCATGGTGGTTGAGGTGCTGAACTCCCATGTGGCTAACCATGGTTTGAGGCCTGGACCTGGCAGCTTGCTTTCTCACTATCTCTTTCTCTCTCAATAATAATAATAATAATAATAATAATAATAAATAAATAAAATTAAATAAATAATTCTCTAAAAATAAAAGTAAAGCCTCAAACTACAAAACTACTGGTGGAAAACCCAGGGGACGCTCTTGAAGACAACGGAGTAGGTGATGGGTTCTTCCTTTTCTGAAAATATTTATTTATTTAATTCCATTTGTTATTATTATTTTTTCATTTGACCAGAGGGCGAGAAAGGGAAAGTGAGAAAGCAAGCCACCAAGCCCAGGACTTGAACCATGGTCAGCCATGTGGGAATCCAGTGCCCTTAACCACCACACCACCTGCCAGCCCAGTAATGATTTCTTAAATAAAATCCCTAAAGTTGCCTATAGGCAACAATCCCAAAAACAGACGAGTGGGACCATGTCAAACCAAAAAGCTTCTGCAAAGCAAAGGAGACAATAAATAGAGTGAAGAAACAACTCACAGGATGGGAAGACATATTTGCAAGCTACGTTGCAGAAAAGTGACTGAGTACTAGAATATGTAGGGAGCTCAAGCAGCTCACCCACAGAAGTAGGAAAAATCCAATTTAAAAAATGGGCAAATAAGCTGACTAGACAACTCTCTAAACATGACGTATGAATGGCCAAAATGTATGTGAAAGAAAATGCAGCTATTTTTCTTTTTAAAAGAATTATATATTGGGAACCAGCAGTTAGTGTAATGGCTATGTCGCTGGACTCCCACGTAGTCGACCGCGGTTCACGTCCCGGACCCGGTGGCTTAAAACTCACACTGGGCGCGTGTGCATGCGTGCCCAAGATCCCTAGAGGAGAATGGAGGAGAAGGGATTGCGGCGTGGCCATCCCCCCTGGGGGGTGATTTCTCGCTTTCTGTCTCTCTCTGTCTGTCTGGTGAGTGCATGCGCCCTATAGTGAAAACCTCTCCAAAAAAAAAAGAGACATACAGTGAGAAAACAAGTTGCCAGGTCTGAGGCTCAAACCACAATTGGCCATGTAGGAGTCTAGCACCTCAACGACCGTGCCACTCGCTGGGCCCATGTTCAGCTTTTCTTATCATATGGGAAATAAAGATTAATGCCACTGGGGCCTGCAGGTGGTGTGGTGATTAAAGACATTGAACTCCCATATGGCTGGCTGACTGTGGTTCAAATCTCAGACCTGGCAGCTGGCTTTCTCACTCTCTCTCTGGTCAAATTTAAAAATAACAATCATGGCTCTGTCTCTCTCTGTCTGTCTGGCAAGTGCACGCGCCCTATAGCAAAAACCTCTCCAAAAAAATAATGAGACCAGCAGTTAGAGTAATGGTTATGTTGCTGGACTCCCATGTAGTCGACCACGGTTTGTGTCCCAGACCTGGTGGCTTAAAACTCACACCGGGCGCATGTATGTGCGTGCCCAAGATCCCGAGAGGAGAATGGAGGAGAAGGGGTTGTGGCGTGACCATCCCCCCTGGGGGGTGATTTCTCGCTTTCTGTCTCTCTATCTCTCTCTGTCTGTCTGGAGAGCGCACGTACCCTATTGCAAAAAAAACAAAACAAACAAAAAAAAAACCAATAATAATAAAATAAAGTTAAAAATAATTCTTTAAAAAAAAAAAGACTAATACCACAATAAAATACCACTTAACCCCAGTCAGAATAGCTATGATTAAAAAATAAATAAATAATCACAAGTGCTGGTGTGGTTGTGGTGAAAAGGGAGACCTCCTACACTTTCCATGCTCATACACTGTTGGTGAGCATGGAAATTGGTACAGCCACTATGGGAAACAGGATGGGGACCAGCAGTAGCATGGTGGTTAAGGTGCTGGACACTCCCACATGGCCGACCATGGTTCGGGTCCCGGACCTGGCAGTTTCCTTTCTCCCTTTCCCTCTCTCTCAAATTAAAATAAATGAATGAACTAAATAAAATTAAATAAAGAATAATTTAAAAAAGGAAACAGGATGGAGGTTCCTCACAAATCTACAAATAGGGGCCTAGTGAATGGTGTAGTGGTTAAGGTGCTGGACTCCCACCATTCAAGTCCTGGCCCCAGCAGCTTGAGAATCATGCTGGGTGCATCCCAAAATCGTGAGAGGAGAATGGAGGAGAAGGGATTGAGGTGTGGCCATGTCTCTGACAAGCACGCATGCCCTGTGGCAAAAACAAACAATAAATAACCTACAAATAGAATTATCACATGCCTCAGTAATCCCACTCCTTGGTATTTGCCCAAAGGATAGGAAAGCCAGCTTCCCCTGCAAACACGCACACCCTGGGCCTCTGCTCCCCAAACTTGGCCCAGCTATCCCTGGAGCAAAGGCGCTTGTGTATATGCATCAACCAATATAGGGGCCAACAGGTGGCATGGTGGTTAAGGTGCTGGACTCCCACGTGGCCAACCGTAGTTCAAGTCCTGGACCTGGCAGCTTACTTTCTCACTTTCCCTTTCTCCCTCTCTGGTCAAATTAAAAAATAATAACAATAAATAATTGTTTTTGTTTTTGTTTTTTAGAGGTTTTTGCTATAGGGCGTGTGTGTTTGCCAGACAGGGAGAGAGAGAGAGACAGAGAGACAGAAAGCGAGAAATCACCCTCTGGGGGGGATGGCCACGCCGCAATCCCTTCTCCTCCACTCTCCTCTCAGGATCTTGGGCACGCACGCACACGTGCCCAGCATGAGTTTAAGCCACCGGGTCCAGGACGTGAACTACAGTCGACAATAAATAAGTCTCTTTTGTTTTTGAGAGGTTTTTGCTATAGGGTATGTGTGCTCATCAGAAAGACAGACAGAGACAGACAGAAAGCGAGAAATCACTCCCTGGGGGGATGGCCACGCCAC